GAGGTTTTTAGATTGTTGAAAAACAAACAAATACTATAATTAAAAGTCAAAAATCATTTATACAGTTACCTTTTAAGACAGATATTGCGGACAAGTCTTTGCTTAGTAGTTTGCAAATAAACGTGGCTAAGTGATTGGTTGTCTATCTGTAATTAAACCATTAAAGTATGTAATTTTGGGACTAATTCCATTAGTGTCCATGTGGAGAGATAAGAGATTGTAGAGTTGTAATTTGACCTCTCCTTCCCCACTAATCAAACCGACTATTCATAAGATTAATGGTCATTTTTGATTATTTCCTCTTGGTTTTGTGGTTTGTTGCCATTCACATACTTGTAAACAAATCTTGCAGGCAAATGAATGAGTTGCCTTTTTTTGGGTTTGGGGTCTGAAAATCAGGCTTTTTTTTCTTATTAATAAAATGTAATTATATGGAAAGACTTTTCTTGGGTTTAGGAGTAATCGCGTTATCTGTGTGTCTTTAAGACCTAAAAGGCCAACACTAATTTCATTTTGTGGCGCTCCACTTCCTTAGCTTTTGATCTCACTTCAAATTTTATGCATTAACAATTATGGGTCGTTTTTTAAATAATAGTATATTTTCTTTATGATGTGTCAGCACCTGATTGAAGGTTCAATTGTTGATTTGCACAACTCATTTTCACCAAATAAAAAACATTTTTCGACATTCATTTTGGTCAAATTTTTGTATATAGAAATAGATATATTTATACATTATAACTTCTAGACTTAAGCCTATCCATTGTTTAAGGAATAGATAATACAAATCAAGAATATTATCTTTGTAAATCTTAATGAATTGTACTCAGTCTTAGTGAATTATAATAAGAAACATATATTATAAATTGAAGCATAATAGATTTATGACCATTTTGTTTCATATAAAATGCTATTCTTAAAGTGAATAAATATCAAGTTGTTTGCTTTTGGCGCAGATGATAAAACGTTTTGAATTATAAAAAGGAAAACAACATTGTTCAATCCCTTATACATTTTTTGGAAATTAATTTGTGAGAGTTTACTTATGTGTCATCTTCACAATCACTCTCTCAAAAATAAATATGACATGGCTAAACAAAAAGATGACATGAAAAATTTGTATAGAAATTTGAGAAATTTCAAAAAATGCCACTTTTCAAGTGCTAGTTTACAAAAATATCACACTTTTGAAATCTTTACAAAAAAATACAACTTTTTCAAATTTTTTTTTTTTTATATTATTTATGTTTGGGTTAATTATGTTCTATTAGGGTTTATTTTTGAGTGTTTAGGGGGTTTTAAGTGTCAAAACATTTTTTAGGGTTTAGAATTTTAAGATATAGGCATTATAAATCTATAATTAGTGACATTTTTGTAAATGGATACCCCTAAATGGCATTCTTGCAAATGTGCACACAAAAAGTGGCATTTTTGTAATTGCCCCTAGAAAATTTCTATTTAAATTTAAATTAATCATAACAAAATCTTTTATAAAAATTTTCCTTAAGTAAATTTACAATATTTTATTATAATTTTCGTTTTTCAAATTATAATTTGATTATAATTTGTTTTGTCACAATAATGTTTGAGGACATAAATGTTCTTATAATATAGATTTACCAAAAATGTTTATAAAGAATAATTTATTCTGTTTTGTGAGAAAATATTCCCAAAATATTCCCAGAATTTATAAAACCCATGTATATACAATATTCTAAAAATTATAAAACCCATGTATATATATATACACTTTTTCTAAAAAAAACTTTGTTCAATATAGAGATATTCGAAAATGAAAAAAAATATGAGTTATATATTTATTAAACGAATATTTCTCTTTAAACTAATTTTTTGAAGGATTAATATTTTATATAATAAACTTCATATTTTATATATAAAGCTAAGCACAAGGGAAAAAATCTCAACATGAAAACTTTTATAATTTACGTACTATCATAAAATTTGGATTTTTATTACATAATATTTTTATTACATAATATTATTGTTACGTAATATTTAATCATAAAACCCAAATTTAATATTGAATCTAACAATAAAAATTGACCTAAAAGACTTAGCTGATAAATAATATATATTTTTCATTAAAATTCAAATAAAAACCGAAAGTAAACCATTCATAGGCATCTATATTGAATTATGTTTTACTTTATATACTATTGTTCACAAATATAGATGATTTGAGAAGTGATTATGAGAGTTTGTTCAATATTTAAAGATACAACACAATTAAAAATCTTTTAACTATAATTAATGTTTTTTATTTTTATTTTATATTAGAATAATTGAATAAACTTAATCCGCATATAAGCGGGGAGTCACCTAGTTGTATCTTATCTATCCTGACATTTGTAGAGAGAAAAACAATA